AAGCGCCTGGAAAATCACGTAGTGAAGCCATATTTGTTGGATGAATGAAGTACAGGAATAGCAAGAGTTAGGACTCACTCATTTATTTATGCTTAACATTTCTTGAGTATCTACCATGTATCAGATATTGTACTTGAACTTGGGGTGACAAGGACAAAGGTACAGGTTGAACCCCTGTTATGGACTGGACTGTGCCCCCCTGATTCATATGTTAAAGCCCTAACTCCCAGTGTGACTGTTTTTGGTGATCGGTTGTTAAGGAGGTAATTAAGGTTAAATGAGATCATAAGAATGGGGCTCTGATCCAGTAAGACTGGTGTCCTTACAAGAAGAGGAAGAGACACCAGAGATGCCCCCTCCATCCCTCTCGGCAAGCACCTAGGAAAGGCCATGTGAGGACACAGCAAGGAGGGGGCTGTCTACAAGTCAGGAAGAGAGACTTCACCAGAAACCAAATTTGCCAGCACCTTGATCATGGACTTCTAGCCTCCAGACCTGTGAGAGAATCACTGTCTGTTGCTTAAGCCACCCAGTCAGTGGTGATTTGTTATGGCAGCCCAAACAGACTAATAACAGCCCTCAAGGAGCTCATAGTCTAGAAGCTGCGGCAGATGAGGAGTGAGCGCTAATGCTGAGAGATTGGTCCTCTGAGATGGGATGGATTGGGGCTGTGGAAGCTCAGAAGTAAGTTGCCCAGTTGAGACTGAGAGGCAGGGGTGACGGGGGGCCAGCAAAGGCTCCTCAGAGAAGGTGATGTCTCTGGCAAGCACTGGAGCAGCAAAAAAAAGGAGCAGGAGAAAGAGGAAAGGGAAGGGTGTCATGAGCATGGGGAGCAGCCTAAGTACAGGCTTCGGGAAACCGTCAGTTTGAGCGGCAGGTCATAACTGGACCAGAACCAGCAGCCCGAAGAAGAGGGTCAAAAGTTCAAGCAAACCATCTGGAGAATGAAGGGACAAGATGAGGCGAGAACATGACTTACTCACTTAGGAGAGAATCAACTTCCAAGATCCTTAGGGCAGCCAGAGACCCAGTCCATAATCCAATGGTTTGTTCTTTGTCAGGACAGGGATTTGACAGCAAGTGTCTCACGCATCATCATCATCATCATCGCCTTTCTCCCGCCTTCCCCCTTCAGCCTGTGAACCCCTGGGTCTCTGCTGGCCTGAGAGCTCTTGACCAGCTCTCTCTCACCCTCACCAGTCACTGCCTTTCCATTCACAGCTGAGTTTCTCGTATGAGTTACCTATACTCACCCCATCTTCTCCCCGCTCTTCAACCCACTGCCACTCTTCTCTTCTCTGAGGTCCTCAGTGGCTCTTAGCCCCTGTATCTTTGTGTAATCTGACCCTATTATTCACTCCCTCCCTCTGGAAACCCTTGACACTTTGCTGGAATGCCTCTCTAGGCTGTAAGCCTCTTGAGGGCACAACCTGTATTTGATTTAGTCGTTGATGAAGTACCCATTGCCGGGGTGGTGCCGGCCCTCTAACAAGCGTTTGACAACTTTCGAATAAATGACTCTCTTGGCATCTTTGACACCTCTTTATTCCAGTCATACACCTACTTCTCTGGTCCTTCTTTTCCAGCGTCCTTCACCAAGGAAGGCTTCTTCTTCCATCCTTTCCTTAAATGTTGCTCTTCCCTAAGGTTCTGTCCTGGATCCTATTCTTCTTTCACGTGACAGGCTGTCTTTGGGCCACCTCACCCACCACCACTTATGAGGACTCCGATTAAATCTACATCTCCAAGCCCGATTTCCCTCCTGAGCTGCAGACCTATAAGCCTCTGACTGGACAGCTATCTCTTAGCATCTTGTGAAAGCACATCCTGGTCCACGTGTTCATAACGAATGCTTCTTTCCCCCCAAATCTGCTCCTCATCTGGCTCTGCCTTCCCTGGCACCACCTTCTACGAGGTCACACAATCCAAATACCTGCTAGGCTTCCACCCGATCGAATTCTGCCAATTCTATCTTCTTAAAGCTCTTAGATCCATCTCCCCCAGCCCCATTCTTTCCACTAATATCCTACCTCAGGCTTTCACCGTCTCTCACCTGGGATAAGGCGTAGATCTGGATGACTTTCTCTGTCTCCCCTCTAGCACCGTCCCATCCTTCTACCCTACTGCCACCAGTGTGATCCCTCCAAAATAGAAATCAGCTGAAGCTGTTCAGATCCACTTTACCTTCAGAATAAACTGGAATTCTCTAGCATGCCAAAGCAAGTATGAGAACAGTACTTGGGCTTCTGGTAGATCAGTTTGCCCTCCCAGAGCTGGAGCGGGGCTTTGTCCCCGGGCCTGTGGTGTAGACAGGTTATGCCTCCATTCTTCCAGGGAGGAGGGAGAGACAGTAACTACTGATCCATTCTAGAAACATTGCCCAATGCCCTGGCATGCTGATATTTACCAGTAGCGTGATTTGTGAGGAGAATCCCACTTGGATGTGCCTCCTATGGAGATCTTGGGAAACAATACTTGAGTTATTTGCCGGGGTGGAGACTGGAGTGAGGCAAGTGGGGAACAAAACCTAAGGAGGCAAGTGCCTCCTTAGATTCTGCACCGTAGGTACCTCACTTTCCTCACCCTGTCATGTGCATGTGTTCACCTTGCTTTGCATTTCATTAGTAGAAACTATGAAGAGAAGCCTGGATACAAATTACCCGCAGTTTATGAGTTGAGGATCTGGATAGAATTAAGTGAGCCCTTTAAAAATGTAGGCTACATAAAAATAAAACATAACCTGGCTGGTGGAAGTATAAGTTGGGTCCACCATTATGGAAAGCCATTTGGCAAAATATATATGGAGCTTTAAAGTTCTTGTGCCATTTGACTCAGTACACTTCCAGGAGTCTATCCTAATTAAGAAATCACATATGTAGGGGTGCCTGAATGGCTCCATTAGTAGAGCATGTGACTCTTGACCTCAGGGTTGTGAGTTCAAGCCCCACGTTGGGCATAAAGCTTATTTAAAAAAGAAAATCCTGTACCCAGACAACTGTTCTCATGCACAAAGATGTTCTTGTGTAATATTTATAACAAAGGAAGCAACTAAATGTCCATAATACAGAGGAAACTGCTTAAATGGTGGTAAATTATGCATTATTATGCATTATAATGCAGTCATTCAAATGATAATTATGTAGACTATAAATAAGTAAACATGCAGACAAAATCATATTAAATAAATTAAGGCTACAAATATAACTATATGTATAGAATAATCCCAAACTAGTTAATACTCAGTATGTGCTTAGAAAAAAAAGGAGTGGAAGAATACACAACAATGTTAACAATGTTAACACCCATAAATTTCTGGGTTTGGGGATGTTTTTAGTGTTTTTAAAACATTTTTCCCATTTTTAAAAATATTAAATAATAGTCATATATGACTTTCATAATAAAAAAATGAAAGTACTTTTAAGTAATTTTTTAATTAATTTTTTTAAGATTTACTTATTTATTTATTTGAGAGAGAGAGAGCTGGGGGGAGGGGCAGAGGGAGAGGGAGAGAATCTTTAAGAAGATTCCTCTCTGAGTGTGGAACCCAACATGGAGATTGATCCCCCTGGGCTGATCCCATGACCCTGAGATCACGACCTGAGCCAAAACCAAGAGTCAGATGCTTAACCGACCGCCCCACCCAGGTGCCCCAAATGATGTTTTTAAAGAAAATCTATTTCATTCTCTGGGACTGCTCTTCATCATTGGTATTCACCAATAGGTCGCCAATCCAACTCCAGTTTAGGAGAGAGGCTGAGAAGTTTTTGATGACAACCAATAGGGTTTGTCGCTGTGGTTGCTTTTAATCCTCATGAGCACATTTGGTTCAGATAATCTCTACGGCTGTACGGCTCCACAAATTCCCCTGTTTGCCCAAGCAACTTCTGACTCTGACAGAACCAGGGCATGTGGTTCATACACAGCAGTCTCTCTCCGTGCCCAGGACGTCCCACAATCCCCAGATATCTCAGCTCCTGGTTTGGTGATGTTGTTAAAACATCCTAGAACGAGTGCTGTGAGCCGTCACTGGGCTGTCTGGGAGCCCATGGGTGGAGGCCCCTCAAAACCCAGGAGGGGGACACTGAAGAGTCAGACCCCCAGCCCTGTCACTAGCCCCGATCTGCAAAAAGCTGCATTTCCGTTCACACTACTGGATATTTCTGACGTCTGTTCATATTTACATCCAGAGATAACGAGACCTGAAGCTTAATTTGGACCTTAATTTGGATCTTTAACGCTGATAAAGAACTGAGAGTCAAGAATGCCCTTACTGTCTCTCCTCATCAGTAAAGAGAGAGAGCTGGATCAGGCTTCCTCTGTTTCACTGATGAACGTGGGGCAAGTAGGAGTGAGGCTGTGACTGCCATCAGTTAATGACCGGTGCTGCGCTCAGAGCCGCCTGAGTGAGTCCAGGTGCCGAGGGGCCGTCCACCTGTGCCCCAGCTGCCACCTCGGACACTGGCACGGCCAGGGCGGCACGCATCATGGGCAACGGGCAAGCAGCTGGCCTGCGCTTACTAGGAGGGGACAATCTAATGATCTGTCCGGCCATACGGCTTGAAGAAAGCTGCCTCATTGACATTGTAAGGGACCCACAAATCTAGCAGAAATAATTAGAACTAACAAAATCATTCTCACTAATCAGAGACCCCATTGGCTATTTGAGAATTTGCAGATTTGTCCCAACCTAGGATGCGGACATCAAATAATTGCCCTTAATTTTTTAAAACAAGGTGCCTTGTTAAAAATAAAAATTTTTATTTTTTCCAGAGTCTATCTTTCGCCTAGGACAATTCGTAAGAGATTTAGGAATATGCAATGATAGCACTGTATCTGATCTAGCATCATTAAAAGACAACAATGTAATTCTAACTTCCTAAAAGAGAGGGAGCAGGAGAACAAAGGGAAAAGGTGCGGAGAGGCATACACATAAAACATGATACGCTGGAAATGCTTCCAGAGCAATACCTTAATACCTCTATCCCCAGAAGTCCACTCACCTGCCTTTCTTAGACGTCTCTTGTACTTCTCTTCCTCGCCAGTGCATTCTGCTTTCAGTGGCCCAAACCCATCCCCACCACAAAAGGAAGACGCCAACTTTCATATTCTGGACAGCCAACATGGGTTTCCAAGTGCGAATGGTTCTCTCAAGAAATATCAAAAAGGAAAAGGATGTTCTTTTTCTCTCTTAAGACATTATTGGTTTGTTCCTTATTCCAAGGATGTTTACTCATGCCAAAAAAAAAAAAAAAAAAAATCAACCCACAGTATGTAATCTGGAGAGCAGGAGAAAGCAATTTCCACTAAACCTATAAATCCTCCTACGTCAGATGTCAGGGATTTTCTGAACTGAGGTTGAAGTCCTGTGTTCCTGTCGAACAATTATTTCGGCTGGTCTAAATTAGTTCATCATCATCTGTGGTGAATGTATTAGTAAAGGTCTGTATTTTCTGGTCCAATGAATAGAAGGAAAACGGACCAAAGCAATTTCCAAAATGAGAAATGCCAGAGGTACTGAACTGCTTCCCATGCCAAATTAATGAGCTCCTCTCTGGATCTATTTTAAGCTTCCAGCCATTATTATTTGCTTTAGCTGAGGGCTGGATTTGCACAGCTCCCTGCCCCCACTCCCTTCTATGCTGAATCCACAGAAGCTCAGGGCTTCCTACCTGGGCAGGTTGTCTATATGGCTGAGATTGGGAGGGCTAGTGGGGAAGAGGATTTTTTTGTCTTTGTTTTGAACAGAAAGAACCAAATTTCCTTGTCAGCTGTATTATTTGTATTATGAAATTTATCAGACACTTCACGTTTAAAAAATATCAGTAATAAATTAGCAATAGCCGTTAAGTCTGTGCTATCTATTGTTGAAAGAATGGGCCCAAAATGGAGTCACTTATGCTCAGCTCCATGTCACCAAACCAAGACGTAGTTTCAGCCCCCCGCAGAAATGGAATCTTAAACCAGTCAATCAGAAGTCACCTAATTAGCATTAGTTAGTAATCTACCTGATAGACCCCTGCCATCCCCTAAAGGAAAGTAACCTTGCAGTAACCAGTCTACTTTTTCGTCTAGTGTAACTTCCTTGTCCCATCCCTTCTGCTTATACAAATCTTTCATTTTATATAGCTCCTCAGAGCTCCTTTCTATCTGCTAGATTAGATGTTGCCTGATTGGTGAATCATTGAATTAAGCCAGTAAGATCTTCAGAATTTACTCGGTTGAATTTTTTAAACACTATAGATAGTTTATCTTTTTCTTTGATGCTTATTCAAAGACTGCTATAATCTATAGGCCAGAGTTTGTGTCTTCAACCAAGAAGGGCACTCCCAGAACCTTGTGGAGGAAGATAGTACAAGGTCTTTCAAACCATTGACTCTTCAAATCTAAGCAGACATGGCTTGGAGAACTTTATAACTTTCAGAGCATATCAGTGGAACTTAATCAGGATTTCCAGGACTCTTTATAGTTGAAAAGCAGACAGTTTCATGAAACTGCTAACCCAACATCCATCAGAATGAGAATTAATTACATAAGATTGAACAAATTGGTGCAGGAAATTTTATTGAGGTTCTTTGGAATACTGTTGACTTGTTTTAATGTCCTATTTATTGGATGTGTAAGGAACCTTTTCCTTTTTCTTCTTTTTTTTTTTAAAGGTCATAGTTGTTGTTTTTGTTTTGTTTTAAAGATTTTATTTATCTATTTGACAGAGAGATACACAGCGAGAGAGGGAACACAAGCAAGGGGAGTGGGAGAGGGAGAAGCAGGCTTCCCGCTGAGCAGGGAGCCTGATGCTGGGCTCCATCCCAAGAACCTGGGATCATGACCTGAGCCAAAGGCAGATGCTTAACCATCTGAGACACCCAGGTGCCCCTCCTTTTTCTTCTTATGCTATGTGTAATTCACAATAATTTTGTAAATTCTACTGTTGTAAACTAAAATGAAACATTTAAAAATGATCTATGGTTTTCAATGACATAATTAATTACCCTCCTCAGAATTCAGAAACTTACTTAGTCTCTTTACTTTTCAATATAATTGCTTACATATGTTCAGTAAGAATCTGTCCTCCTTTTTGCCAAGACATAATTGGAAGACTCCATTAGGTGATCAATGCAGTGCCTGGAATATTATAGTTGAGAATGATGTTCAGTTGAATAGATGTGACAAGCCCTCTTAAAGAACAAAGTTTGGGGGTCCCTGGCTGGCTCAGGAGATAGAGCATGCAACTCTCGATCTAGGGTTTGTAAATATGAGCCCCACGCTGGGTGTAGAGATTACTTAAAAATAAGATCATTAAAATTTTTTTTTAAAGAATAAAGTACAAAGTTTGGCTATAATTATGGAGTCAATGCTTACAAAGTCCTCCCGGGAAAATTGACCTGAATGAGTTTATAAGATCCAGCCTGATAGGTAATAAGGAAGGTCACTTCAAAGGCAAGTCTTTGGGATATTTTTTTGAAACCTCAAGAAGAGAGGAATTTGCCCAAATGTAAAGGTACTGCAGCTAAAGTCAGGTGAGTAGCTTGGGACAACAAAGTCTAGTCTAAGATTCCTTATGAACACTTACAGACAGAAGTTAATTTGGGACCATTCCATACTGTATGACTCTAGATTTCTCAAAGCAGGCTGAAAGGAAGCCTCTCTGATCAATCAATAATTTTGATGCACCTATCTAAGTAGTCAGCCAAACCTAATGAGACCAGCTTTTTTTGATGACCAAGAATAATCTTTAAATTATGTATGATCACAAGGGGAGGGAAGTCTGCCAGGAGAAACTGTCAGATATTGAAATGGACGAAAGAGATTATTGGGTGTCCTTGCAATAGAATGCTAAGCCTTGTCCAATGAATAGAAGGAAAACGGACCAAAGCAATTTCCAAAATGAGAAATGCCAGAGGTACTGAACTGCTTCCCATGCCAAATTAATGAGCTCCTCTCTGGATCTATTTTAAGCTTCCAGCCATTATTATTTGCTTTAGCTGAGGGCTGGATTTGCACAGCTCCCTGCCCCCACTCCCTTCTATGCTGAATCCACAGAAGCTCAGGGCTTCCTAGGGACCCTCCAGGGATTATCTCATCCTCTGGGGATGTGGCCTTTCATTGTCTTTGACCAGGCTATTTTACAACTCTGTACAAGTAGACATCAACATGTAGAACGCTGATAGTAATATATCTTTTCTGTCCATAGCTATGCAAACTATTCTTTTTGTTCAGTGCAGAATATAAATCTCTGTAAATCAAATCCTCATATGAACTACTTGTAACATCTTACTAGTCCTCTTGCTAATTAATGAGTTAAATAAAAACTTTGACATGGGTTCATTTTTATAGTTAGATGAGAGTTATGATTAGATCTTCTTATATAAATTATCCTTTAACAGCAGTCAATAAACAGATGATGAAAAGAATTCAACATATAGAAATAAAGACAGAATATGTGATGTCTCCAGAAGTCAACGCAAGCCAAGCATGATTAGATACTCAATTGATAGTGACTTGCTGACCTGAAGAATCAAAGTGGCAAAGGTTTGGAAAGACCCTGGGGCTGAGTACACAAAAATCTCTAAGCCAAGAAGGCATTGAGGGGGCCATTAAACGGCTCTTTGAGGCTCATGTTGGAATATTGGAAAATGCATTTCTTTCTCGCTTGGAGGGCCCTGGACATAACCAAAGAGAGCAAATCCAGATGGCCTAAAATATGCATTTCCTACCTTCTCTCAGTAGTTTAGCAGAGACCCAGCTCAACAAGTCTGAGTTAGCTCAATGCAAGGACAGGCTGATGTTAGATGCCCAGCCTTCCCAACAAGGCCACTTGTCCCACCAGGAAACTCCAATGGCAGAACCCTATAGGAAGGGGCCCTGTCTTGGAGCCCTTTCTGCATTTGGCCGTGGCAACCATACCCAGCCCAAGTACCCTTCTCGGGGGGCGGGGGGGGGGTCATGAGGGCTCAGAAAGCTATGTGCACTTTGCAACTTCCCGACTTATAAGTGCTCTTACTAAATGTCCCCCCCGCCCCATTAACACCATGTAACTCTACTAAGGAGAATATCCATGCCATTTTTGCAAGATAAAGACATAGGAGGGCTTTGTAGAGATGACATGTGGCCTGAGAGAACCAGTTGGGGCTAGCATACGGTTCAGGAAGGCAGAGGAGTTAGAAATCAAGATCCAAAGCTTATTGAGGACACAGACTGACTTATTCAAGTATGGTATTTCCAGACCAACTTTAAAAACCACTGTTCTTGGGTGCCTGGGTGGCTCAGTTGGTTGGGCAACTGCCTTCGGCTCAGGTCATGATCCTGGAGTCCCAGGATCGAGTCCTGCATCAGGCTCCCTGCTCAGCAGGGAGTCTGCTTCTCCCTCTGACCCTCCCCCCTCTCATGCTCTCTCTCTCTCATTCTCTCTCAAATAAATAAAATCTAAAAAAATAAAATTAAATTAAAAAAAACCACTGTTCTTGACCAAATCCTCCTTTCCCTTTATTCAGCACACCAGTTTCCTCTCTTTCTAACTTCTTCCTTTTTTTTTTTTAGATTTATTTATTTATTTGAGAAAGAGAGAGTGTGCATGCCAGCGGTGGCGGGGGGAGTGGAGAGGCAGAGGGAATGAGATAAACTCAAGCAGACTCCCTGCTGAGCGAAGAGCCCGATGTGGGGCTCAATCTCACCATCCTAAGATCATGACCTGAGCCGGGATCAAGAGTCAGACACTCAACCAACTGAGGCACCCAGGTGCCCCTCTAACTTCTTTTTTTTTTAATTCCTCACTCATCATGGCCTTCTCTACACCAATGCAGGACCTCCAGGGTAGTATTCCTTCAGTGGAGAAAGGACCAGGTAGTAGTTGAGGCTAGCTTTGTTTCTCATTGACACTTCTAGGCTCTTCAAGAGTCCCCTTGCCTCCAGCCCTCAGAATAAGCCCAACACTCACTGACCAAGAAGGTCAACTTTAGACACCACACTCCTGGCAGCTCCAAGACAATGGCCCTAGGTCTTCATCAATTTATTTTCAAGTAACTCACTCTAGAATATTCTGTCACATCAGTTTTGCTCTGGCTCTGAACACAGTGCCTAAATGTGGTTTCCTGGCATGGGGCTGAAACTTGCCAGCTAGGGAATTAGGGATAATAGAAAGCAAAGAAAATGAATTGGATGAAAC